GGGAGGAAGGGAAGGAGAGGGAGAGAGAGGAAGGGAAGGAGAGGGAGAGGGAGGAAGGGAAGAGGAGGGAGAGGGAGGAAGGGAAGGAGAGGGAGAGGGAAGAAGGGAAGAGGAGGGAGAGGGAGGAAGGGAAGAGGGAGGAATGGAAGAAAAGGGAGAGGGAGGAAGGGAAGAGGGGGGAGAGGGAGGAAGGGAATGAGAGGGAGAGGGAGGAAGGGAAGGAGAGGGAGAGGGAGGAAGGGAATGAGAGGGAGAGGGAGGAAGGGAAGGAGAGGGAGAGGGAGGAAGGGAAGAAGAGGGAGAGGGAGAGGGAGGAAGGGAAGAAGAGGGAGAGAGAGGAAGGGAAGGAGAGGGAGAGGGAGGAAGGCAAGAGGAGGGAGAGGGAGGAAGGGAAGGAGAGGGAGAGGGAGAGGGAGGAAGGGAAGGAGAGGGACAGGGAGGAGGGGAAGAGGAGGGAGAGGAAGGAAGGGAAGGAGAAGGAACAGGAGGAAGGGAAGGAGAGGGAGGGAGGAAAGGAGTATACATGTGTATACTTGTATATTTATATTTATGTATATACTTATATACTTATATTTATGTATATACTTATATTTATGTATATGTACATGTGTATATTTGTACATGTATATGTATATTTGTTTACTTGTATATGTATGTGTACATGTATATACTTGTCCCTGTATGTGTAAGTGTACATGTATGTGTGTGTACATGTACATGTGTATGTGTATCTGTACATGTACATATATCTGTGCACATGTTTAATATTTGCACATGTGTATACCTGTGTGTGTATGTGTGCATATGCGTGTGTGTATACATGTCTGTTTAAGTTCTCCTCCTTCTCTTTCTCCTTTTATTTTTATATTTATTTTCATTCCTCTTTTAACCCATTTGCGCCATGTGGCAAGAATAGATCCCATGCCCACTGCAATACACGTTTATTTTTTGTATTTACACATAGATGGCTCTACAAGTTCTTAATCACCAAATAGCCAGTTTATCAGAACTACCTATCTCACTTGTTTACCCCTTTCCTTCACTTTAAGAAAGGGTCTTTTGTATCATTTCATTCTCTAAAATATTTTAATGACACTTTAATAATCATAACATCATAACATAGATAGCAATGGTATTAACGTATTACCGCCGGGGATGGCATCTACGTACATGCCATGCCCACATGCCATGCCCACTGTGAGTCGACTTGTTCGATTGTTTTTACACATAGATGGCTACACTTGTACTAAGTACGAGTACTGCCTGTCTCGCCCGTTCACCCTTTTCATCGATTTACGAAAATATTTAACGTTATCCTAATGTGCTGTTAAAAATAACACCATCTATTTTTATAGCACTAGTAAGAATACGTTTTTTTCCCGCCAATTCAAGGAAAGGTGAAATCAGGACTTTTTATATTTCACAAAAATATAAAAAATGAGTACTGCATTTTCCCCATTTTTTGTTCATTTTCAATGGGTTGATATGAAAAAACATTTACCCGCCAATTCAAGGAATGGGAAAATTAGGATTGGTAATTAGAGCCTACTGACAGACTCCTTGCCAGCTGAGCACATGTGGAGCCATCTGTATGTAACAAAATTCACCAAAGACTACTGGGGACAGAACATAAATCCGGGGCGAATGGGTTAATTTGAATAATCAATTTTGCCAATTCTGAAACATGGCAGGCAAAAATACTTACTGTGAGTTTTCTGCGCTTGCTGTATGACGGCCAGCCCTGTGGCTCTAGTACCAGTCTTCCACCTGGCTTTAAGTTGTGAAATATACGTCGAAAAAACCTCTTGAGTCCCGAATCTCCCCAGTTCAGATGGATCCATTTGGTGACACTAAGACACAGTATTAGGTCAAACTCTGGCCGAACAGTTTCCAGCAATTCATCAGACTCCAGGACATAATTTGCCTGGAAAAAAAAGAAAAGAAAAATTAGTCTCTATTCTTTCCTATCTCTCATCTACTATAAAATGATTTTGTCACTGAAAGATGAAAGAACAAGAATAAATAGCATGAAGGCTTACTTACATGAACAAACTTAACATTATATGGGAAGCTGCGGCTGCCATCAGCTCTTACAGGAGGTTTCAACGGACCATATAACAATTTCATCGACTTGGGGAAGTTGGCTTCCTCTGCATCACTCTTGCGAAGGTAATGTTTGATGTTTTTTTCCGCAATATTGACCAATTTTTTATCAATATCAATTCCCACAACTCGCTTTGGGTTAAAATCCCTTGCAAGAGTTAAAGTTATATGTCCAATGTTACAACCTATATCAAGCACTTCCTTGCCCTCAAACCAATCACGTTTCAAATAGTCTAGTCTCACATCGGGAGTCTGGTCAGGGTTCCTATAGCCATAATATTTGTTATAGTTCCCATACTGAAAATGTTCATTCTTAGGATTGTATTTTTTGGGAGGGACCAAATTTTGTTGGCTGAGGTGAGGCTTATCAGTATACTGTCTGGAATGGCTTGGATGTCTCTTGCGCTCCACTCCAGGCTGGGGAATCACTGGACTCACAATCTTGTTGTCTGACTTAGTTCGCTGCTTTTTGAATGGTGGTCTAGTGACACCACTTGTTGATGGCTTTAGTCCAGTCGGTGTAACTGGTCCTGTGCATTCCCTGAAATAAGGAAAAATGCAATTAAATACTGCAAAGAAAAGCACCGAGATCAACATGCACTTACGTGTGCTTGTATGCAATCTATGACTATTGAATATGTAATTCTTTCCCCTTTACTTTGTTAAAGAAAAAAAGAGTTCCTACATCTAAATGTTCGTACATTCTAATTTCTTCAAAAAAGTTGTTATAAAAATCCTGGTGCACATCTCTGAGTGCAAGATCAAAATAAAGCTGTTCACACTAAAAGACACTTGATGCCTTGGCAGACTTTTCGCACTTAATAGCACTGATACCTGAATTATACTGGAAAGCCCTTTCATTGAAACCTCACCACTGATAAGGGTAACTAATGTATCTAGTCCACAATGTATTTTCTGTACATATAGAGCACATTTCCTGTTAAAATCCGAGTTCCAAATATCCCAGTTCAGGAAGAGGAAGGTACTCTAATTACCTGGCACAATTAGATTATCTCATGTTTCATTAATTTTTCCTTGAATGTTTCTATCACTAACTAAATTCATCATCTCAAAATTCCAAGCATCCAATCTTACTTTCGTGCTTCTGTTGAGCTCTGTGGCGTTGTGAACTCTGTGTTCACCGTCAGTGGCTTCATTGCTTCCTCAAGGGGAGCTTTTGGTAGGATTGGGGCTGGCAGGATGCTCTCTTGCAAATCCTCTTCTTCAGCTGGTCCTCCATCATTATCAATGCCTTCTCCATCAGCAGTGGCACTCCCTGGCTCTGACAGTCTCCGTTTCCGTTTCTGGTTTGAAAAATGTAAATCATTATTGTATATGCCTCAAGTACTTTGAAATGTAATACATTACAGCAATAAAAGCAAAATTATTAAACTTAACCCAACCCACAATATCATTATGAATTGATGATGTTTGAACACAAATATCATAATCAAAAATATAGCAAGCACCTTTATAACATTTAAGACTCACCCTCCTCCTCCTGTTACGCCGTAGTTGCTTCTGCAGGGCATCTGTGAGAACATCTTCATTATCTGAGGAAGCATCTAAATTTAACGGGTCATTGATGTTCGGTGGGATGATGACACGAACTGCATCCGATCGTTTGGACACAGTTCCCCCCGCTGCCTCATCTTCAGCAAGTCTGAAATAATAATTAACATTAGATAAAAAAAAAATCATTTAAATCCTCATGACTATAAAATAAAGATGATGTATTAAAACAATACTGACCGCTGACTTGAAGACCTACTTGAGAGATCCATATTGGTCTTAAAAAAAACATTATTATTCATTTTTTTCTTAACAATAAAGCTAGGTAAGATATACCAAGTATTCATGCCTACAGCATTCATTACTTACTTAGCTATCCCTTCCTTGTCTAGGGAACCAAGATTGAGTGGATCTGATATAGTTCCACCAAGGAGAAATTTTGAGGGAAGTACAATATTATTTTTACGTCTTTTGTTACGAAATTCCCCTGGACCAGAGTAGCTGTATGATCTTTTACGCTTGTATCGGAACTCTGGGTCTGTACGTATTTTCCTGAAATGAAAGAAGGATTTAGGAATATTACAAAAAGATCAAGAGATCTACCTATTTGTTCTAAATAACAATTGTCACCTAGAATTTGCTTGCTTTATAAACCAATGAGGCATAAAATATAAAATCATGCAGGCAGGATCAAATCCCATCAATGATTATACAACTTTTGTTACAATATTTCCTTCCACATTTTGCTTATTACACCTGTGAGGTGTGGTGCAGAATCCCTCTGGCAGAATTATGGAATCACATTGTCTGAGAATTTCCTTCTACATAGATAAAGAATATGAAATGTAATATTTTTTATAACCATGCCAGCTGCATATCTTTATTGGGGTTGATTCCTTAGAGAATCTATCAAGTTCTCAGGAATATAGTAATTTTATAAAATGGTATAAACTGATAACCTAGGCAGAAGGCATGCCAAAGTCAAATTTCAAAATCATCCTATGGCAAAGGTCATAAACCATTTATAGGGCACATATAAAATCTAAATTGTTTTACAAAAAAAAAAAAAAAGTGTTATTATACTTTTGCATTAAAGCACAATTCACTAAATTCATGAGAATTTATATCATAAAAAATAATAATAATAATAATAATAATAATAATAATAATAATAATAATAATAATAATAATAATAATAATAATGATAGCAATAAAAAAAAAAAAGGTTCCGTTTCAGCAAACCTGCATGATGCCTGGATTATAAGGCGCAGTATCTGCCTGCTAAGGTTATTTATGGCAAGGTGCAGGACACTTTTGGCACACCAGCAGTGTAGACTGCCTGGCGAGTCTGAGAATCAGGCACGCAAAAGCAAGACACCCATCATTGCGTCTAGGATTGTTTGTAGTGCATAACTTCCAAAGAATAACTTTCAAATCAAATGAAAGATAAAGTGCTTAAAAACAAGGAATGTTTCCATCAAAGAAGAGTGTCATCTCTGCTG